TTCGTCCCTATCCGAGAAGACTAGAATATCTAACCATTTCTTGATGTTATAGAAAGGTAGCAAATATTTCTCAATTATTTTAAGACCTTGAGTGTTGGTCCAGCCGGGGCTCGAACCCTCGACCTCTCGCACTACAGTCCAGCGGTCTATCCATTGAGCTAATCGGCAGGCGGTAATATGACAGAAAAGAGAGATCTACCGTACCAGAGGCTGTGTATGCTGCGAGTTAAGTTTTCTGAGAATCCAGGATAAAAAATTCTTCCACATCCTTTTCTAATCAATTCCGACGTTCAAAGCAAAGTTTCATGCTTTATAAAACAATTAATTTCCACATATTGTCCTGACCAGGAAAGTGATTTAATATATCCAGAAACGATCGCAACATTTTACCTTACAAAAGGGCCTTAGTGGGCTGTGAACTGTTAGCCGTAAAGCGGCAAACCTATTTCAGTCGTTAGGTTGACAAATTTTAACTCTTCATTGGGACAAAAATGTTCTTTTTATGGCAAAGGAGAGAACTTTTAAACTCCTGATAGCCATAAAAAGACCAAAATTTTACCCGTAAATCGAAAGTGCCATAGCCCAATTGAAACCCCAACACAACGACAAATGAGACAGAGAGACTTACCTCGCAATTAATTTCTACTGAAATAAGCTGGGAAGTTAAAATTCAGACATGCTGCTGCTAGTTGACACGAGTTCCCACTTGCTCCTAACAGAATGCAAGACATTTGTACAACTTCGCTGTGTGTTGCCGAATATGTGGCTTTATTATAGCAATGCGTCTTAAACGACATCATAACGGCTAAAAGATGAGAAATTAATACGTGAACAGTCTTCTTCGCGTCTGTTGAGTTTTTTTTTTTAACAGCGCAAGGAGTAACTCTGGTAATTCGTACAATGCAAAACTGTTTCAAATTACTTTCAGCAGATTGACGCTCCTGAAATACTTGAAGACAAAATAGACTCTTATTTCAAATGGGCCAAAGGAAGTAACATAGCTAGAGAGGCTCTTCCAGGAAGCGTTCTTGATATTCCAAGCATCGACGTTGTTCTTCGCCCCGCAGAGGTCCTGATAAAGATCTGCAAGTTCCTAGAAATTATTTGCACAGAGAAATATCTACATGACTGTGCAGACACTGTGGACTCAACTCCTTCAATAACACGTAACTATATAAAGTGGACTGCCAAACAGAAGGATACAGTGTACAGGGAAATGAACAGATTCTCTTTTCTACAAGGGTATTCTTTTGATAAGACAGTTTAGTAGACAAGAAAAGGAATGAAAGAAAAAACTGCAGAAGAATATTCATTAGTTAAATTTATGTCTCGTTTATTCAGAAAGTTAAGAAAAGTAATGAAGAGGATTTAAGAAATCGCGACACTTCAACGAGGTTCATCTTACATTTAAGAAGTAAACTTATGTTCAAACGCCATCTTGAAATTGAAACTTTAGACCAAGATGGCATACTTTTCCAGATAGGCGAGAATGAAAAACAATCAGAACGCAAAACAATTGTTAAATTCTAGGCGGAGAATTAAAAAAATGTACAATACTAATGCTCGCTCTTTAACCAAAACGGTTCCAAAACGGTTCCAAAACGGTTTTCTTTGGGGATGGCGCGTACTAACTAGTTTATGCAATTCAGTGACTCCTCACTTTAGCATCGATCCATTTGCTTGATTAGTTTGACGGGTTGCTTTATGAAATAAAAGGCAGTCTATGACTGCATGTGCCTACTGAACACTGAGTTTGTACAGTGGTCAATTGACAGGCTGGGGTTAGGGCAGAAAATTGATAGAATAGGTACATTTATCAATGTGCACACGAATAAATAATTCATTGCAAAACTTCGTCACCTCACATGCTCTGCGCACCTGGTGCTATGGATTCGAGTCTGTAGTTATGTGGTTCGAGCCCCTTCTTTTTTGTATTTATTTTTTTCGCATTTTGATTTAAATTCTTTATTAAAGGATATGCTAAATATATTCAGAGTAAAGCTCTAGTTCAATCGATAACAATGTCGAAATGCAGGGGTGAAACCCTGAAAGAAAATTAACTAAACTCGAAAACGCCAAAAATGAGTCCGAAAAAACCCGATCAGATTCGTTCAATGATAGCTAGTGTTGGAACTGAACCAGGACGGGTCAATAGAGATGTAACGAGTGTCTCACCGTCCGCCATTTTGAAAACCGCGAAGGGCTTGGAGAAGATTACGGACTTATACGACACCATAATCGACCACATGACGTAAGAGACTACAGCCTTCTTAGAAGAAACGCACAGTAGGCGCAAAAATGACTCGGTAGTCACCATAAACAACCGTCTTTTTGTCGCTGCATGCAGACCATTCTATCATTACATAAAATTTACCTTCCTTAACATGTTATTTTGATTCTCACCACATCATTTTGAAATTTTGGACTCGTAAAAACTACATAAAAATAGTTTCCGTGTGCTGAGAAAAGACGGTTAGGGCAGAAGTTTCAATAAAATCTGGGGTCTAACACCGGTCTAATATTGGTCTATCGCCGGTCTAATATTCGTCTATCACCGGTCTAATATTGGTCTAACACTGGTCTGATATTGGTCTAACACCAGTCTAACAGACTAACACCGCCTGCAATACTTCTCGCCGATGTCTGTTCAGCCTGCGATGATGCCCTGTTTTTTGTTTTTCTTTTTTAGCCACCTATTACCCCATCGGAAAAGTGAGAGCGCATGTTTTACTCGGCGGATATGGCGCATTCGAGGAGCGTTTTCTTATTCCAGCATAGATGAATTTCGTTGGGGGAACGAAGAGAACAAGGTTTTATACTTTTTTGGACTGTTATTGATGCGAAACAAGTGGAACGTGACAATTTAATCAAGTTTGTTCTTATGGAGAGGTCTGAAGGGTCACCAGAACATTCTTTCAATTATAGTTTATCGTCAGTTGTTTTAAATTTATTCAGAGAGCTAAAGCGAAAGCAGCTGCTCCAAATTTCGTAGCCGCGTTAGCTACTCTACTTCAGTCCCTAAATTCACACTTGTTAGCGCAGTGAGATATGTGACGGAGGAGGTTCGACAGAAACCTTCCTGTAAACAGAAACCTTATCTGTTTTGGTTTGTGTTAATCTCTGCAAAATGAAAAAAAAAAAGATGGAAATTTTTAGAAATACCGCCATTTTATAAAAGATGATGCCGTTTCCTGTCTTTACCACCCGTCAAACAAGCATGCGCACTCATTTTGCCGCTTGCTTGCTTTATATCTAAAGTGCCTGTAACCCCAAAAAATTTTTCTGGCTATATTAAATCTCTCTATTGCACTGAGCAAAATGCCGCAAAAATTTTTTTGTTTGGTTAAAACCGCGATTTTTTATGATTTTTCAAAGTCGAGTTTAGTTTTCGAACGACCGAGTGAACGAGAGACTGGTGCCAGTGACGTCATTCCAGGCCATCGGCCGTCGGGCTCCGATCCAATCTCAGTCAATATTATACGTTCCCAACGAGATGAAACCTTCGTTAAAGCCTGATCTGGTAAATTTTTCTCACCTTTCTCTTACTTCGCTCGCTTTCAGCTGATTTCGTTTCCTCCGACATTCCATGCGTGATCAGTCGGAAAGACGCAAATTCCAACTCCATCTTTTCGCAACCTTCGTTGTATAGTCTTGCTGGTCAGATCAGAAAACATGACTGAATAATCTTCTTCTCGGAAGTAGTAGGAACATATGGCCGAGTATTTTGTGGGCTTCCAATGTGCATGCTTCAATTGCACAAAGTCAACCCACTTCCTTCTTCTCTTTTTTTTCTCCGGGTTATCTGCCCCATAAAAAGGTATCGCATGAAGTGCTATTCTTTTTCCTTTCTTGGGAGTGTTGCTACACCCGAAAACAACGCACTTATGAGGCATATCCGTCAAGATACTTCATCCAGTCCTTGAAGCAAACTCATTGGAAAGCCTGGAATGACGTCACAAACTGTGCTCGACCCAGACCCATCTTGATAATTCCGTGCTTAGGTCGTGTTTTGAAAAAATGCGACTTTCCACGACTTTGAAAATTCATAAAAAAATCGGGGTTTTAACTAAACACAAAAATTTTTTGCGGCATTTTCCTCAGTGCAATAGAGAAATTCAATATGGTCAAAAAACTCTTTTGGGGTTATAGTGCCTTAAGCTAAAATCTCTCACAGACAAAAGAAAAACTTCCCAAGGACTGCAGCTCCTCACTCTAAACTTTCATAACGAGTGCCTTTATTTAAATACGGTCCTCAGACTACCATTGGCACAAAGATGATATGACACTTATAACCTCTCTTCTATGAACGTACGGAAAAAGAATCGAATAATTCATCATAGGGGATTTCTCATGTTCTGTTCTGAGTATTATTATTGACTGACGGAACACAATCCAAAAAAATATACCCCGTCCATAAATTTTCTTTTCTTTGCAAGTGCAATACGATAAATTAATTATCAACTGTTGTCGAATTTTCAGCAGTGTGTTGTAAATCGAAATACCTGAAGACCTTTCGTGAAAAAGCCTCTCTACAGTAGATCGGTTCAGAATCTTTTCAGGCTACAGTGGATACTTAAAAGATGTGCTGGCCAGCTGCTCGACTTAATGAACACGTTCCCTTGAGAAACAAGAATCTCGTTAAAGCCTCAAGTCTCAGTGTGATCAGCACTTAAATAAAAAGTGGCAATGAAAGCTTTTCTTTCTTTATCTAGCCGATGATATTACAGTCAATACAAAAGTTTCCAGAATTATGGAAATTTCACACAGATTTTTTAATTAAGCAATTGTGACAAAAAGTTCACCTGGGAAACTGTAAGCCTGAATCTTCCTCGGAAAACCATAAAAGTTGCTAAGAGAGTGCGAGAAAATAAACAAAGGTAGACTATTAAATTTCACATCGCCGCGAAATATTTCAGAAAATAGCATATTTCTAACATGATAACGTAACAACTTGCAAAATAATTTGATATTTCTTTTTTGCTTTCATTTGCTTCCAATAATGCAGTTTCGTTTTTTGCTTTGTTTCAAATTGCTTACGCACCAAAGTGAATCTTGCAAATTAATCTCACCACTGCGGCCATGAAGATAATCAACGAAAAGATTAAGAAAAGTTCCGCTTTCGCCATCGTTTCGCGAAGAATCAATTTCAATCGCTTTCCTCCTTTGGAGTATTTCACAAACTAATGCACATCGATCCCTTGCAAATAGGAAGTACAAGGGTACACTACCTTTAAGCGCGACTTATATAAAATCGGAATTGTTCAAACACAGGTGCTAAATCAGACGCTAGTTTCCCACAAGTAATTTTCCAGTGCTTATTTTTCAGAAAGTCCGTGGTTATTCTAAGATCCTATCATTAGGCTTCAGGTCCGGGAAAAACTTATTAATTTTCTCGAAAATAAGTGTCACTGGTTCTACTTTCTGCTCTACTGATCTCGGAAAACAGAGATTTTTCTCAGTCATTAATAATCCTTCATTAAAATTTTGTCTACGCTACACTATGGATAATTCCTGTTTAAAAAGGGACGTATTAACGACTTAATTCGAATCACATATCCTATACCACTACCCACCGCGTTTATGATCGCGCCAGAAACATTTTTCTTTTGTTTTCGGTTTTTTTTTCTCTTACTCTGTACAAGCTAAAACAAGGCCAGGAAAGAGGTCTAAGATGTCATTATGGTTCACCGTTTTGTTTTTCTTTTCTGTTACAACATCGATTCCATTACTGTGTTTTGATCACTCCGCTCATTCTTCTTCATTTTTTTCTTGAAACACGGAATCATCAAACACAACTCACGACGGAAATCTTGTTTTAAGAACGTATACAACATCGGATTAATCAGCGAAGTGGAAAATCGCAAAAAGTCAAAAACCAGCAGCCATACTGGCGGTATGGCGTAGAACACATGTGTGCCGAGGTAGTCCTGTAGGAGGCTTATGTACCAAGTGGACCAGCAACATGTAAATATTCCCAACATAAGTGCGAAGATGGATATGGCGCGTTTTTCAGTCACTAAATGTTTGCCTCGGCCACGATACTCGCGAAAAGTTTCCAACTTCCTAATCTGTTTTGCTTGGTGATGAATCACATTAAACATTCGAATGTAAAAGAACAACATGAGCGCTAAAGGTATCAACAAACAGACAACCATGCCAACCATGTTGTAGATCAGACCCCAACGAAGTTTAGTAGGATTTCGAGACGTGAAGTTGTCCAATTCTTGCCACGCAAGTTGTATCAGCGCCATGAATAGCGAAAAGAACCACACAGAGGTTATAAGTGTAACTGTTCTCCTTTTGGTGACAATAGTCATGTATCTAAACGGGTAGATCACAGAAGTGTACCTTTCCCCAGTAATAATAAGGATGTGAAATATAGTGGACACAGCAATAAAACTGTAAACAGCTGCTGAAGTTATGCACAGTCCCGAGAAGTTCTTATAGCCGACCAGTGCATTGCAAGCGGTGTTCATCGGGATCCCAAGAACACCCATCATTAGATCAGAAATGCTCAAACTTACCAACAGTAAGTTGGTTTTTGTCCGTAGAGGCCTTCTTTTGACGAACAACACAAGCACTAACAGGTTGATGGCAATGATGAGGACGCTAAGACTGATTAAACAAGAATCATACCCAATATCGAAGTAACTCTGTGGTAGTGAATCGCCGCTACTTTCCACCGAAGAAGAGTTATTCGACTTCATTACATCCAACCTGTACGCGCGTGTTAAGTCCAGGTAATACTTCCTAACAAGCAATCTTGCAGCTCTTTTTAATACGAAGCCACCAATCGTCTTTCAGCGTTGAGGAGTAGACTCTTAGCTAAACAATCGTTTTCATAATCTAAGTTAAAACCAATAATATTTTGCGGTGAATTTGCTAAGGAGACCCGACAAAGAGTCCTTGATTAACGATAAAATCATGAGTCGGGTGCTGTCCAATTAAAACAGTTTCCAATGTTCAGCCACGTTTCCAGATATTAAAAAGTTAAATAGAAACGTGTCTCAGTCGTTGATGCTTGATTGATGGCCTTTGAGTCTTCAAATAAAAGTCTGTTGTGTATTTCTTCATAAAACAATAGTCCTTTTGCACCTTTTCACACCTCAGTCTGGTAATATTTTATTATCTTATCGCTTTTTTAAAGCCACTTATGTTTTCTTTTTCTTGGACACTCTCTTGATGATATTCCGCCGCAAAAATCGATAAACTTTACTTTGCTCCGACGAAGGCCAACGCTCGAAACGTCAGCTTTTGTAATCGTTAAGGTGGCCAATTTACCACTTCAACTTTGTTGATATATCCAAACTTTACTTTAATCGACATTCGGATCGATCTCTGTAATAATTTTAACCAACCCATCCGATAGGAGGGTACTTTTTCCTCGTATTCCTTTGTCCGTCGCAGTTTTGCCGATATTGACACTTTGTATTTCAAATTAATGCTAACCTCTAAAATTATATGTAAACGATGGTTAAAAGCTCAAAGTACAAGACTGACTCCCTGAACGCAGAAAAAAATCTGTAATAAGAGATAACTTAATCAAACGATCGTAAATTGAACGAGTGAATCAAAGCATTCAATGGTCACAACTTATCAAAATGCATGACTTCTGTGGTAATTTTATTACGGTCACATTAAGATAACAAACATCCAAGTGAAAATTACTTTCCGACTAAGCATTGATTACAAGTATCTGGCTTTTCATGACATGCTGGACTGTCATGGTTCTCGCTCGCACCTTCCCCAGACTCCTCTCCGAGCGTGGTGCGCCTTACAGCGCGTGCGTTGTAAAATGGTGTAACTATCATTTGCAAACGTAAAATTAGGATTGCAAAAACGAGTTCATTTCTATGTTCACATAAAGTCACATTGAATAAGCACTATTCAGGTCACGGCTGGAAAAGTTACAATTATGTCGTTGTTCAGTTGCTGTTGCTTTTGTTTTTGTTTGCGTCTTTTTCTTTTAACGTCGTAAATCAATGGTAGAAAGCTCCTTGACCTTTTCACTCCCAGTAGTGATCAACGAGGAATGTTTCCTTACCATGAGTGAATTTTGGGCAAAATGGTAACGAGAAGAAAGAAAAAGATTAACGAGGGGATATTGCTCGATTTAATACAAAATTCTCAGAACTAGAATCATAAGCGACATGTGGGGAACGGTACAGATAAAGGATGTCTACACCTTGAGAGAAAAAGGGTTAAAATATCAGTGTCTGAAACTTGTACTTCAAAAAGGAGTTTTCTTCGGGTCCAGTCACCATCCCACACGAGAAGTCAGCGAAAATCGACCTAGGAAACACGACAATTTCTCAAAACGGAAAAGCCACCAGTTGCTGAACTGAACCAAGAGAACAAGAGCATGTGTACTCTTGCTCTGAAATTAAGCAGCTAACAAAACGACACCAAACGTTGCGGCTCATGAGATGATGGTAGAGGTTTGACAAAAAGCAAAAGATGGTCCACTTCAAGTGCTCAGAGATTTGGTAAAACATTGGAAACAGCCCTAAATCACAAACATCTTTGTAAATAAAACATATCTTTGCACGCGGTGCAGATCAAAGGTTCTGCTGCAACCAACAACTGCTAAATGTCCACTGACCAGAGCTAGTCTTTAACGATGTACGTCATATTTGTCAAACCGATTCTAATCACTTTTAAAATAAAGTAAATTGTTAGATTCCGCTCAAAAAGAGAACAAATAATTTCAAGACCATAGGTTAAAATCTCGAACACTTCTGACATTTCTGTCTAAATGACTGAAACGATTTGTAGTTGCGTTAAATCAACGGAAAAGTACGGTGACTGGTTAGAGCCATAACAGAAACACAATTTTTTTAGGGATTAATTTAAATTAAGTCACCAAATTAAAAGGAACCCCGTTTCGAAACACTTATAAATAACTGCTGCACAACATTTCAATTGACTTCTACTTTTCTACATTGTACTACCAACTGTAAATTTCGACTTATAACTGAAAATTTCCACTTATAACTGTAAATTTCCACGTATAACTGTAAATTTCCACTTAGATCTGTAATTTTCCACTTATAACTGTAAATTTCCACTTATAACTGTAAATTTCTACTTATATCTGTAAATTTCCTCTTATAACTATACATTTACAGTTATAAGGGTAAATTTCCACTTATAACTAGCTGTAAATTTCCACTTATAACTGTAAATATACACTTATAACTGTAACTTTACACTTAAAACTGTAATTTGCACTTGTAAACGTTAATTTACAGTTATAACTATAGATTTACTCTTGTAACTGTAGATGTACACTTTTAACTGTAAATTTATGGTAATAATAACTATAAATTTACACTGGTGATTGTAAATTGACACTTATAACCGTAAAGTAAACATCAATCGAAAGGCAGTCTCGTGCTTTCGTTCACGTGTAGTCGAGTGCAGTCCACAAGATGGGGGAAGGCGCAAGGGGAATGGAAGAGGTAAGTTGCGGTCAATTTTACATGTAGTGCACGATATCAAGAAAGGCAGAGAGAAAGCGAAAGCTAGGAAAACAAAGGCAGCTAATAGTAATAGCCATTCCGGGAATGTCTCCGGAGCACAGAATACAATAAAGAAAGAGAGTGTAAAGAAAAGAAAGATCGCTCTTGGTAGGATGCACTGTTTTACAAAAGAGAAAAGGTTTATAACGGTACTACTAACCAGTGCCGGAGGTGGCACCCGTAGGCTAGGATCGATATACCAGGTCATTCTACCAAAGGAGACCTTATAGCAGAAGCCCCGAAAGCTCTTCTTCACAGGAGGGTCTTTCCACTCACGAAGAAGAAAAGAAAATGATCTTTGTCCTTGCAAATTTTAAAGCGGAGCCTATCGAAGAATTCATTGAAGATGGAGAAACTACAGATGACATCACTGTCCAGAAGTATATCGAAAAACACAAACTGACCTTGGCAAGGTTGTAATTAACATCAAAGCTTTCATCTCTCTGTACTCTCTCTTATGTGGCCTGTGATGATGATGACGCCAATCTCAATTCACCAACAGTTGAGTTTGTGGAGTCATCAAAGTCTGAGAAGCGTCAGTAAGACAAGAGGAAGGCATGGCTTATGAGGTATGCAAACCTGGATGTAGATGCATTTAAACTGGAAGATGCATCCTCCCATTCTGTTCCTGATGACTTTCCTTGTTACAATAGTGCTGACTTGGTATGGTTAGGCCATTCACTTCTCGATAGATCCGAAGAATGCCAACAGTTGCAGGGGCGGATCAAGGGGAAAGGTGCAGGACGTTTGCACCTCCCCCCCCTCGAGATGACCTGCGGCTTTCTAATACAAGTGGTATTCTGCTACTACAATCTGTTTACGTCCGCTCACCAGCCAGTTACGCCATTCTTTAGTTGTGCACCTCCTCCTAAAAAATCTTGGATCCGCCCTGAGTTGTTGCAATAACATGAAGAATCATTGCAGCAATCTATCGAGATTGACAGGCGGAAAGAAGAGGAAAAGAAAGATAGTTTGATTCAGCAAGATCAAGAAAAGGAGAAACACGAGAGAGAAACTGCACGATTGGAAGCCGTAAGATCATCCAGGTCCTGGAGAGTACCTGCTGAACCAGCGGTAGGAGCCCCACGGGTAGGGATAAGGGTTCCTCATGTAACCAGTGGAAATCTTGTGCACTACTTTTCTAGCAGTGACAAAATGTTGCGTGTCTACGACTGGATCGGCTCGCTGGCAAAAGAGCCAGAGAACTTTAAACTGTGTTCTTCGCCTGAAGTCGTGGCAATGCCGTGTGACCCCGTTAGTAACTGCACCCTATACATACAAGTTACGGACGAGTCAATATTGTCGTTGGAGGATTCTGACGTTATGTTCAAAGGGTATGGCAGTGAGCAGAGGTATGTAGTGACATACATGTTGCTTTTTTTTRGAGAGATTATTTTTTACCAGCGAAATATTAAAGACCCATGACCGACCATTAGTTTAAACTGGGGGTTTTCGTTTCCGTTCTTTTTTTCAGGAAACCCGAAAATTTGTACGGTGGTATTCAACTGCAATCGGCGAGTACACCTCCAGATTTCCTAGTGTTAGGTGACGAGTGCTTGGTTGCAGATCACCATGAGGGAGAATTGATAAAGAAAACTACACTAAGGTACAAGAAAAGCGGGAAGAGGCCCTGCGTGCTCTGAATGGAAGCGTGCATGTCATTGTCAATAAAGAAAAATGTGTTAAGGACCTTAGTTCCATTTGTAAAGATCCCAGCATCCTTGAAAAGAACGTTGTAGTTGGCATACAGGGGGCAGAAACATCGGGAGATGCTGTTTTGGGAGAGGCTTATTCTTTGTTTGGGCACAGTTTCTTGTCTCAAAGTGATGGCGATAGCCAGCACTCAATTCCAATTCTCCCAAATCTCAACCAGGAAGACTATGTGAGAATTGGCAGAATTTTGACACATCAATTTGTGCTTTGCGGTATGTTCCCAGTAAAGGTGTTCCAGGCATCAATGCAGAACATTCTTTTTCGGCCGCGCAACCGACGAGTGTAAGATCGAGTCTTTTCTGTGGCTTCTACCACCAAGGGAGAGAGAGTGTCTATCAAGGGCATTGATAGGTGACGGATCATTCCCACAGGAGAGATTATCCATCTACTCGAAGACTACAGCGTACGCTAGTTACCTACTGCAGATAACATCAAGGCTCTGGTACTGTCTGTAGCAACCACTGAGTTTGTGACAATGCCTTTCTT